AAAACAATAAAGCATAGCCGCCTTTATTTTGAATTGAATGGTCTTTGCATGTGATGAACTACCTATGCTCTTGGACTTTTGTGTTACACAAAGCTGGAGTTCTTTTGGTCCTTGTCCTTTTTAACTTGCCACCTAATGCCTGAGCTCAGAGGTAGCTTGCTTTCTAGGAAAGCAGTTTCTTCTTCTAAAACTCTCTCATTCTTCTTGGTGAACTCTTAGCTTCCTTCAAAATGGCTCCTTTCACCTCATTTGCTGTACAAGCATCCTACTTCATCTCTTCTTCCTCTTGACACACCATAGAATTCACATCCCTTGGCTTTATATGTCTCTTGAAAACTGAGGGGCTTTTTCTCTGGACCCTCGTCTGTGAAACCGTTCCCCCCACCCCAGTCTGCAATGTCTGAAGCTCATTGTGCCATGGTGTGGTCTGTTCTGTACACCCTCCATGTTTGCACAAAATGGATACTTCCTGCTGTGTTTCAAAGTTTCAGTGATTTTCTTTTCCCACTTTGGCAGTACCCAAAGGGTACTAGTAAGCTCTGAACATTTTATTTCTGTGCTTTGCCTTATCATACTTTCTCAGTCAGTAAATGGCAAAGTCCATTTGTCCCAGCCTTGAGCTTGGCAGTAGAGTTATGTGTTGGGAACTAGTATGCCTGTCTAAACACCATTGCTGACCAAGTCACTCCTCTTAAAATGTCTAATTTGGTTTTAGGAATTGTATATGCTTTGGCGAATGGTAGTATCATGTTTACTAAATCCACCTTGCTGTCTGGGTTCTTCATGGTTAAGAGTTGGAGTGTACCTTGAGAGTACTCTGTTGGTAAAGTCCAATTTTATTTGTTTTTGGACCATACATTCTTATTGTGTTACCCAGGCTGTTCTCAAACTCCTGGGCTCAAGGAATTCAGCCTCCTTGGGAGTACAGGTGCTCTTCACTGTACCCTCTTAATTCCAGATACAAAAAAATTTTTGATGAAACCCACAAATAAAGGCTTTTTGGAGCCTTTAGGATTAAAGATTTATCATTTATTATTTTCATGTGTACTTATGTGCCTACATGAGTTTATGTGTACCATGTGTGCAGGAACCTGTGTGGTCAAGAAGACAGAATCAGGTCTCTTGTAAAATGCCCTGTGTGTACTGGGGACTGAACCTGGGTTCCCTGCAAGAGCAGTAAGTGTTCCGAACTGCCAAGCCATGTCTCCAGCTCCATGTTCAGTTATTTTTAATAGTGCAAATGGTTCTAGAGACCAAAATGTTTTAGACTCAATAGAATAAAACCTACTCCCAAGATAGTTAGAAAAAGTACACGTTGGTATTAGTATAACTTAACATTTGTGTAAAGAGCTATTAGACTCTCATTTCTACAAGCAATATATGTTGAAAGGATATAAAAGAATTAAGTGGCAGGTGTTTCAGGGAGGAAGAAGTGAAAGTAAAACTCTGAACCCATTTGAACTGGTTGAGGGTATGGCTGTGGTAGAGCACCTTTGTCTGGCACTGGGTGAGGCTCTTGGTTCAGCCCAAGCACTTGCACCACTTTCCCTAAAGATTGGAAGAAGTTTATGACAGTAGTTATTTTTCCCACAGCTTGCTTTTTCTTGTTTGATGTGAGGGATTTTTTTCCCCAATTAATGTCCAAGCCAGATACTATCATTTTGGAATAGTAAAACTCAAACTAGGCAGCATTTTCCCCAATGGGGACCAGAGTAATACAGAATGTAGGTTTTTAAAGAGGAACAGTTTGATTAGTATTTTCAAAATGACATTCATTTCTAGGTTCCTGGAAAAGATGGAGTTTGTTTTCTCAGACTGTCATAATTTATAGTCTTGTCATTTCAAAGGTTTTGAGTAAGTGCTGCATGAAATATAGAAGTAAAAAAGCTAAGTGTTCTGACATTTGATTCAGCACAAAAAGTACTTTTTAATACTCCTAACCTTTGAGGCTTGGGGACTTTGTAAAGAAATAAGGAGCTCAATTTTATTTATTCTCACTGCTGTTAAATGTGCCTTTTGATCAGTGTTCATGTTTTTAACTCTTAGACGAAGTGTCCTTTTATGAAAAGGAAAAAATATTTTAATATAACAGCTTTTCAGATTTTTTTCTTCTATATGTGTAAAATTTACTTCTTTGAATGCTGAATATCATTTCCTGAGTTCTTTGAAGCTGCTTTGAGGAAGATGATGCATGCCAGTCTGTTCATTTCCAGTGGTTAGGTTTGCCTGTAATGCGGAACCATTTCCCCCAAGTTCTCTGGTTGGCAAAGATTGCTTTTTAAAATATTAATGGATTTTTCTAAGCATTAGGCACATGGTTGCTGTTTACTCCTACTCATATAGATGTGAGTTTGTTTTGTCTGATTCTTGACACATTCTTAGAAATAGTGTAGGGTGGGTATTGCTCCTCAGTATGGAAACTGAAATTCAAAGGGATGAATTAGTTACTCAGTACCTTATTAATTAATTACTCAGTACCTTATTAATACTAAAATAGAAATTTAGATTCAAACAGTGCTAGGTTAGATTCATATATAAATTTTAGATTTCAAAAGACTCTGTCTTTGAAAAATATATGTCTCTGCCCCCTGTATTCCAAGCCTTCTGGTCAGATTGGAGAGGAACAGGTAGGGCACAGGTCTTGCCCCAGGGGCTTGCAGTTAGTGGCAGAGACGAGTGGGAGCAGTAAGTGAGTTGCCCCGCTGAAGGGCCATGGAATAAAGCAAGTCTGGTGAGGGGTAGGAAAAGAGATGTTTGGGCAGACAACACTGATACTACTTGGTATTGGCTAGTTTGTCTATGTGCTGGGTTGGGCAGTGTATAAGAGGATGTAGGATGCGGAAGCAGAAAAGTAGACAATGTGCCCTAAATTAAGAAGTCTGAATTAAGAATAAAAAGTAGGGATTTGAGAGTACTAAGAAGGGAGTTTCAGTACAAAATATCTCAGAGTCACCAGGATCTGATTGAGTCTTAGTGCATATTAAACTTAGCTTGGGATCTCAGTCAGATAGTTAAGTGTTTCTGAGCTGTTTACCTCCTATGTATGATGGAGAAAACCTTTATTCCACAGGCAGTTAGGAGGACTAGGAAAAGAAATGGAAAGAGAACACCAGACCTGTAAATACTCCGTAATGAAAGATGAAGTAGAGACAGTTCCCCGAATATATTCTGAGCTTCTAGGTAGAAGTGAAAACATTTATGAGTTATTTTACAAATTACAAATTTTAAGAATTAAAAACATTTAAGAGTATTAGAACATTGACCATTTCTCAAATAGCTAATACATGGCTTCTGTAATTTTACTTTAAAAATATTCTTAATTTTTTTTATGTATATCATCTCTGTGTGTGTATGGGTGAGTGGCTACCTCAAGAGGCCAGAAGAGGTCTGGGATCCTTGGTGCTGGAATTACTAATGGCTGTGAGCTGCCTGATATAGGGGTTTGGGGAATCAAACTTAGGTCCTTTGGGAGAGCAGCACGCACTCTTAACCACTGAGCCATTTCTCTAGCCCCTAATTTTATGTTGTTGGACTTGTTACTTAGGAGTCTTAGTGTGGCAGAACTTGAAAGCAAGATATTGTCTTTAAGGTCTGGTTGTCAGGTGAAGTTTCCAAAGGACAGGCCTTATGTGGGATGTGTTTGTTTTTGTATTTTATACATTCCCATTCCTCAGCACCCTGACCCAGGAATTAATTTTTGGTTGAACATGTGTATCTTATCATTTGCTAATATTTTAATCTTTTAAATTACCCTTTCATTTAAGCTTCTTTAATATTAAAATTAACATAAAGAATAAAATAAAATAGTACATGGATATATTTTTTTGTAAAACATAACATCTTAACTTACAGCACCACAGCAAGATACCACAGACTGGGAAACTTATTTCTTACAGTAGTTTGGAAGCTGAGAAGTTCAAGATCAAGTTCTGGGTTAGGGGTTCCTGTTGAGGACTCTTGCTGACTTGTAGGTAGAAGCGTTTTCACCAAAGCCTTTCCTCTGTGCCACGTTTTGATAGCTAAGGTTTGGGAGTAAGCCCTTTGGTATCCCTTTAAGGGCACATAGTCTTGTAGGATGAGGGCCATGCTCTTATGACCTCATGGAATCTTGTTTCCTTATTTCAGATACAGCTACACTGGGAGACCAGACATGTTCAGTCAACATACAGTAAATTTCTAGAGGTTTCCTTAGTTACTTTTGTGACTTAGTATTTTGTAGCAGTGGTGAAGTTAGGTGTGCATTATACTGTACTTCAGTCTAGACCTGCAAGTATATGCGAGTCATTTGAGTCCTTACTTCTCATGTTGATAGATTGTTAGCTAAAGAAACCAAGCTAGTATTACAAAAATTAGCCACTCCAATAGTGTCTTTAAAAAAAAGATTGGTTTATTTTATGTGTATAAGTGTTTTACTTGAGTGTATGTTTGTGTACCTTATGTGTACAGTGCTTGTGGAAGCCAAAAGATGATGTTGGGTTTCCCAGAACCAGAGGTACAGATGGTTGTAAGCTGCCATGTGGGTGCTGGGAACTGAACCTGGGTCCTTTTGCAAGAGCAGCAAGCATAATTAACTGCTGGGCATCTCTTCAGCCCCTCTGGTAGTATCTTGAGCCTGTTCTATATGCTTGAATTCCCTGCCCCTCCCCCCACCCCCCTAATTCAGGGCCCAATGTAGTTTGATTCCTGTAGGGAGCGACTTCCCTAATTCAATGGTGATTTATTAAAATCTTAATATGTTAAAGTTATACAGTTTTTAAAGGTGACTAAACTGGTTTGGAACAAAGAAACCTTAACTGACTTTAAAGTATTTTAAAGACACACACACACACACACACACACACACACACACACACACACACACACACACTCACTCACTCCACCCCACCCCACCCTCTTACTGGGAATTTGGATTCTTTCTAAGTTGTTTTGTATTGCAGGAGGTTGAAGAAGGACTTTCACCTGGTTCCTCAGAGTGTTTATGTTGATATTCTTTCTTACAGGCCAGCCCTCCAGACCTCTATATCGAAAGATTTAATATAGCTCTGGGACAGTATATGGGAGCATTGCAGAGCATCGTGCCTCTTTTCATATATATGGTAAGTTAGAGCCCTGTTTACCTTTCCCAAACCATGTGGGCTTAATTGTGTTCTGGTTTTCTTTTACTGTATTTTTTAATTTCCATTTCATTCCTGAGCCAGATTAAAGATGGATGTGTTTATGAACCTGGAGTTGAGAGTAGGAGGTCTAATCACTACCTTATTCTTTGCAGCACATCCAAATGGAATAAGCCTAAAAGTAAAGGTGAGAGAGAGAGACGAAATCATGCCCAACTTTGAGAATGAAGAAAGGCATTTCTTCCCCTCATAATTTTCTTTATTAAATTTGTTCTTTCACATTTCATACTATATATAGTATATATAGTTTACTTTCTCCTCCAACCCTTTCTTACCTCCTTTTGTGCTGCACCCCCATCCCCATATCCCCACAGGTCCCATTTTCACATTCTTGCTGAGAGAAGACCTTTAAATCCCATTAAGAAGGAGAATATTAGTTGATGTTAGAATGAAAAACCTTTGTTCAGCAAAATACCAAAACCAAAAATAGGTGGAGAAGTTTGTAGGAAATTTACAAAATACAAGACACAGGTTTGTCTTCGCTAACTAGTTTTCATAGATTACGTCGGAAAGGGTCAGCAATACTGTTTTTTGACAAAAAGTTATTGAATTGGATAGTTCACAGAAAATACATAGCATAAAAAAGGAAAATATATCCAACATCATTGTTAAATACAAGTTAAAATTACTTTTTAAAAAGTTCTTGGAAATACTCATTTCTGATGAAGCTGTAGAGAAACAGGCCTATAATTTAGAGTATAAATGTGAATTGGTAAAATTGCCTTGGAAGACTCAAAATGTTATCTCTAGAATTTCTCAAACTCATGTAGAGCTAGAATACAGGATCAGCTTTGATTGCACACCTATGGGCATGGTTGTAGTTTTTAACTAACCACGTACATCTTGTTTTTATAGTTTTTGTTTGTTTGATTGGTTTTTTTTGTTTGTTTTTTGTTTTTTAGGGTTTTTTTTTGTTTGTTTTTTTGTTTGTTTGTTTGGTGTTTTTTTTTGGAGGGAAGGTTTCTCTATGTAACAGCTCTGGCTATCCCTGGAACCTGCTTTGTAGACCAGGCTGGCCTCCAGCTCACGGAGATCCACCTCCCTCTGCCTGGGATTAAAGGCCTGCACCACCACTGCCTGACTTATATAGCCTTTTTTTACAGAAGGGAAAACACTGTTCAGAACCAAGAGAGTGAGTGAGCGGTTTTGTTTTCTACTCTTTGGCATTGAGCTAGCATTTAAACATGAACAAATGTAATGTTTTTAGATTTGTGTTTGTTTTTTTTTTTCCTAGTTAGGCTGATTTTGGTTGCAAGAAAGAGAAAACTTGATTCAAAGTAACTCAGGTAAATAAGGAAGCAGACCTCGAGTCCTTGAGAGTAGGTAGTTCCCAGGGGTGTTCTAATCAGGGTTTCTGTTTTGTCCCTTGCTGTATACCATACAGCTCATCTTATTTTGGATATAAATGAAACAACTTTCCCTTCAAGGACTGCTTGCTCTTAGCCTGATTAGGGTGTCTGCCTCTAAACAGAGATTGAATCTGGAATTTGGTACACTGACCATTGCTGAAGGGCATGTTTACAGGGACTCTTCCTGGTAGCTTCCACTGCCTGCCCTCAGCCTGGATGCTGAGGAGTGCCTTCCTGAATTTCAGCATTGCCTTTTGATGCTTCTAATGAATGCTTAAAGGACATGGCACCCAGTGTGGCTCCATATTGCTGTGATTGTTTGTGATTGTATCTTCCAGCCTTTTAACCTCATGCCAAAAAGACCCGTAACTAGGAATGGCTGGGTTTTGCTGTTTGCTGGGTATTTTTATTCTATTGTTTTTTTAAATCGATACATTTATACATTATTTCCTAAAACAACACTTAGTTCTTCCACTCATGGAAATGATTACTTTCCCTTGTTGATATATAAAAACTTATTTTTTTTTTCAGAATAAGTTTTACATAGAAACTAAGCTTAACAGAGACTTAAAAGATGATCTTATAAAGCTGTTTACGGAACACGTTGCAGAAAAGCACATTTACAGCCTAATGCGTAAGTAATTTTACTTCTTATGGGGGTGAGACAGCACTAGCCATGGTCTCCTTTTTCCTCCCTCCCTCCCTTCTCCATCTCAGTGTTACTCTTTCCTTTCATCTGAGAACATTGTCTTCTTAACTCCAGTATTGACATCTCTAGAACCAGAGAGCAGGAAGTTGTAAAGCCTACCTCAGTCTGGAGAGAGAGACACTTGAGGATTGAAACTGTGGTTTACAGATCATCCACTGTTCTTAGATACTTAGGCGGGTCATGTATTGGACCGTGTCTTGTGCCTGGTATGATCTGTGTTGCCATTTCTTCACTGAGCAGAAGTATGATTAGCAGAGTCACATGTAACTACAGTATCATTGACCCTCAAAGGAGCACTAGGTGTCTGAAGGCCAGCACAGATTCTATCTGGTTTCTACTACTAGTCTAGTGTGGCTGTTGTTCCCCATGTTAGCAAGCAGCTAGCCTCCTGTGGATTAGCATTTGTAAAATATTACCATGGCAGTATAGATAGCTAATTATGATACAAGTGCCAAGCTCAGTCAGTCTTTCTCCATCCCTGGCTCACAATAGGTGGCATTGTTTCCTCTTCATCTAAAGGAGTATCCCTCTTCGAGTGCACTCCAGGTATACCATCACTTGTTACTCAGCACCTTCAAAAAAGCTCTGTTTTGATCAGTATTTAGTAATTGGTACTAATGTAGATTGTAGTTTTTTTTCCCCCAGTCTTTTAGTTGTAATTAGTTGCTGCCATACAAAAGTTTTACTGAAATTTACAAAGTCATTGTTTTAAGCTTGACCAAAAACTCTTTTTGTCACTTTTGATTTTAAATTAAGAGAAGAGATTTATATACTGGACCAGTTTACTTTTGCAAGTCACAGTTTTCACACAGTTAGTATAGATTTGATTGACATCATTTTGCTCCCAGAAGATCCAGAAACTTGGACTTATAACATGCATTGTTTTTCAGACTGGACAGATACTTATAAGAATTTTTGTACATTAACCCTGAGGTATTCCACTTGTTTTGGTTTTGAGAGAGGGTCTTGCTTAGCCCATGTTGGCTTAGAACTTTAAGCAATCCTCTTGCCTGAGCCTTCCAACTTGTGGGATTACAGAGGTGTATTGCTGCACCAGCTTCTGGCCGTTGGTTTTATCCTTGGATACTGACATTGTTTTTAACTTTTTAAAGCACATTTTCTTCTTTGTTAAAATTTTATAAAGAAATGCTATGTCTGATAGAAATATGTATTTTCTTTCTAAATTCGTCTTTATACTTGCTAATAATTTGGAAGTTAACTTTATTGGCCATATGGAAAGAATATTGAAGAGAATATTGCACTTAGATTGGATGTGAGTGCTTTCTAGTCTGGGGTTTTCATGAAATTGACACTTAAAGGATACATCCTTTTTTCCAGAAAATAGAAAAAGCCCTTAAATTTTTGTAAGTTGGATAAAAGTAAACATATTAAATATTTATTGAGCAGTTAGTAGGTATTATACATATGATGGAAGACACAGAAAGTGGCTGCTGGACACACTGGTTTGGGTCCCAGGACACGGGAGCTCTATAAATGTTTTAACAGTTGTAAAGATGATTATTACAAGGATTTTTGAACAGGCACACACACAGTTTACATATAGTAGGACCTGTTCTAGATATTTTACAGGTATTATTTAAATATCTTGACACTATAGGGTAGGTGGTTATTACCATAGAAATTGAGGCAGAGAGATAAAAATAAAGTCAAAACAACAGTGATTCGGAGTTGGTATTTTGACTCCAGTGGCTATAATACAAGTATACCTAGTGTCTGATTTTCTAAAAATGTGAATATTAGTTTCCTTCCTTTGGCCTTTAACACACTTGGATGTGCTACTATTCCATTCACTGTTGTTTGGAAACATAGTGGCTTCAACCAGCAGCATCTTTTAATTTGCTGTGTAATCTGGAAAGGACTTGGTAAGGCATTTTATCTGCCCTGCTTCCACCTGGCTGATGTGGCCCAACTAGGGCTTTCTATTGTTGGCTAACATGACTGCTAAGTTAGTGTGGTTTTTAATTTCTTAGGTTTTTCTCCAACAGTGAATGTTCCAAGATTCAGAAAATAGAAACTTGGAAACTGTGTCTAAAGTCCTGGGCTCAGAATAAATTTTCTCCATTCTATTGGGTGAGCAATCACAGAGCCTAAACTTCTGGGGTGAGGGGGATGATCATGGACCCCCATCTCTCAGTGGGAAGTATTTCAAAGTGTGTGAGATTCCATATCTTAAACTAGTAAGGCAAGAGAAAATAAAATCCTGTGTGCTAAAAACAAATTGGTACTTGATGTCTTCATGTTCATGAATTAGTATTTGTTACTAAGAAACAGTGAGTGTTGTTATTGTAGGTGAAGCTAGTTTCCTATCAGCACTGTGTATGATCTTTGCATACATGTGTCCTTAGAAAATAAAGTGACATGGTTTTGACTGGTAACAAAATTGCTTTCCTCAGAAATTTGTTTTCACTTTGAATTAAACTGAATGTGGAACTAGGAGGATTTACATTAATTAAAGTATTTGCATGGTACTGTACTGAGCAGATGCAGATGTAGTAATCAGGTTGGACATTTCCAGAGAAAGTATAATGTGTTGACTTTTGCAGTTAAAGGTAGTTTACTTTGCAGATAGTTTCAAATATTTGTACTTAAATTTCCTTAGGAGTCTGTATTTTACTTTTAGACCCTTGTAGTTTGACACTTTTTGAATTCATGTAGTTTTAGTTTTCATTTCTAGAACAAATTAATAAAAGAATCCCCTGGACAATGAAGGCAGTAAGATGGCTGAATAGGTCAGGTTGCTTTCTGCTAAGCCTGACCATCTTAGTCCTTAGATTAGGAGAGTAGAAAGAGAAGTGGTTCTCACAAGTTGTCTTCTGACCTTCAGATATGCACTGTGGCATTCATGCATGTATGTGCACTATACACTATAAATAAATGTAATGAAAATTTAAAAGAAAATCCTGTGCAAGATCTTGGCACCAAGAAACATTTGAAACATCAGAGGAGTTCAGGACCCAGCAAGATACTTAAGAGTGTCATAACAGCTCTATGCCTAGGCTTAACCCCCCTTTGATTGACCTACTTCTGTGAGTAAAAGGATTGTTGAAGTACGCTGTTCTTTGATACATGGCTTTCAGAAGAAACCAATTACTAAGAACAACACTTTACTAGCACCAGTCCATGTAAAACAAGTGTGTCTGGAGTATGTTTGGTGAAGGAAGAGCAATTACAGGATTCAGAGGGAATACAAGTTTCCCAACCATATGAAATGCTCATCCAGTTAAAGCAAACAAAGATGGCAAAGGCCAGAACTTGCTGGGTGCAGTAAACACCCCATCCCCTTGCATCCTTAGCAAGTCCCAGTTCTTTAGGGAAAAAAAAATCTGGAAAATTCTTTAAACTTACTTTGTCTGAAGAATGTAGATAGAGAAGAGAGGATGTTAGCAAATTATTAAAATACTTTTTCAGCTCTTGATAACTCTTTATTGTTTGGAGGTTTTGTTTTGTTTGCTTTATTGAGATGGAGTCTCTTGTAGCCCAGGCTGGTTTGAAACTCTTAAAGATGACCTTGAACTTCTGATCCCTCTGCTTTCACCTTCCATGCCTGGTTTAGGTTGTGTTGGGGGTCAAACCCAGAACTTTGTACACGGTAGGCAAACACTAACAAACTGAACTACATCCCTAGCCTGTAGTAATATTTATTCTTGAATATAATTATTTATAGTTAGTTCACCCCAAATTATTTATACACATTTCATGTGCTATGTATGTCTTTTTAAAATTTGCCATTTCTTCATAGCTGTCAGGTTGGCATAGAAATTATGGTAGGGACTGTTGGCAGAGTCATTACTTAGCCACATATTGAATATGTGGTTAAGTATGAAGGCCTCAGGAATTGGTAAAAAACTAGGAACATAGATTGGTAAAAAGAACACTTACATTTGGGGTACATGCTGAGTACCTAAGGCTTTCAGAACACAACATTTAGAATTTCAGTTTTTAAACATTAGATTTTAAAGTACTATGATTTTATGACAGTTCACATTTGTCATCCTTAACATTTGTCATTCAAAATTGAAACTATATGTGGATGATGAGAAGATGGGAAGAATAAACAAAGCACCTCTGATGATCTTTATTAGTAAATTCCATAGCAAGTCACATCCTGTGTCTAAAGTTACCAAATCCTTGAAGTAAGGAAGTATTTCCATTTTCAAAATGACATGGATAAAGGAAAATAGTTAACTATAAACCTGGCTTATATAAAATCCCACCATTTAGTTTTCTCTTTCTTCTTCCCCCCCCCCCCTTTTTTGTTTTGGATAGTAAATATTTCTATAGTGGGTATTTTTGTTTGTTTGTTTTAGTCTTTGAGAGACAAATTTAAAATGAACTGTTTCAGGGCAGTAGCACTTGCTCTGCCCATAAACATGGGATTAGTATCTGTTAATGATATAATAGAAGTGTTATTGAAGTAATTACTTGTTTCAAAAATAGAGAAAATGTAGATAATATAAAAGAAAGCTGACTCTCTGTTCAGTCAGAAGTCAAGGTTACTTTCAAAGTTGCTGAAGTAGAAAAGGTGAGTTGTGATCATCTCTAGCGTTGCATAGGAAGATTTTTTGCAAGAAGATGAAGCTATGGCTTTGATACAGTTAATAAAATTACTGTTGGTTGAGTATCCCTAATCTGAAAATCCAAAATGCTCTGAAATCTCTAATTTACTTTGTGTTTGATGGGGAGGGAGTTTCACTATGTTCTGGCTGGCCTCTAACTTAGAGAGATCTGCCTGACTCTGCCTCCTGAGGGCCAGGATTAAAGGCGGGCACAACTATTCCTAGCTGAAATCTGTAGCTTTTTTAACATAACAGAAATTCGGGTGTTTCAGATTTGTTGCATTAGGGGTGTTCAGCCAGTAAAATCCAAGACAACTTCTGATCCCAGCACTTTAGATGAGGGTGGTTTGAAGAAAGAAGGTCCTGTGTCATCTTCACCCACACAATGGAAGGCTTCTCTCCTCTGACTCCTCTGCACTGCTTTGCTTATTCGTACTGCAGCAGATCAGTGCAGGTTCCTGCTTTATTGAGTGCTGTGCTGAAGGCTTTTGTAATCTTGTGTGTATAAGCTCTCGACCTGTCTTGTGCTGCTCTTTTCTTGTGGTGTTTACCTATTCAGACTTAGAAATACTAATAGAGAGACATTTTTACTGTTAGCAAGTGTTACATGCTTTTTTCTTTCTTTTTTTATTTTTCTTTTTTTTTCTTTATTTTTTATTTTTTTCATTTTCTTTTTTTTCTTTTTTTTACCTGTTTTTTCTTCTTATTCCAGCTTTACTTTTAGAAGCCCAGTCAACACCATTTCAGGTCACACCTTCAACTATGGCAAATATTGTGAAAGGCCTGTACACTCTCAGACCAGGTAAACACCTGTCATTTCTGTTGGGATTGGGCCTGTGTTTTTATTTATTACAGCCTTATACGAAAGGACAGTGGTTCTTTATATGCTTCGTAAGGCCAAATGACATTTGGGTTTACTGTAGTAAAAATCCCAGAACTTAAATCTGTGTGAAATGTTGGTTTAGAACTCACTTGGAACTCGTTTTCTACCAGTGAAAAGCAGCTGCTTTGGTTTTTGTAGAGAGAAATCCAGAAAATAATTTGCTGATTCATTTCCTATGTACGCTGACACTTGAAAGTATCATCATCTGTGAACTGAGGCAGGAGGATAGTGAGTCTAAAGCCAGCCTGAAAGCCGCATAGGTAGACTGTGTTGCAAAACAAAGCAAGAAAATGAATCTCGTGTTTGGTGTTAGTTTTGTCTTTGTTGTTATGGAGGTTCTCCTTTATTTCACCCTGTCAGATGTGTAGGAGTGCATATTCAAATTACATCTTCTAGTTCATTAATAACTTGGCAAGGGATCTAGAACAGTTGATAAAGTTATGTCATGAGGATTTGAGGGAAGACACATAAACAATACCTATATTCACAAGCAAGGCCTGTAAATGACTGTAGTGTGTCTACTTCATAGTAAAAGTATGGTTGGATGCAAAGCAATCCAAAGAGCCTTTGTAGGGCCTCAAGCTTGCCACTGAGTTATCTAGCCATTTACAACATGCCTATAAGAGAAGCTTGTAGAAATCTCAGGGTAAAACATTATCCTGCAATCAGTAAACACAAAAAATGCTTTTTTTTTTTTGGAAAGAAATTACTGTTTTGTGAAATTTTGTTATCTGAAGATTCAAAGAAATAAAATGTGAATGGAAAATTTAACCTGGGAGCTGGAGAGATGGCTCAGTGGTTAAGAGCACTGGCTGCTCTTCCAGAGGTCCTGAGTTCAATTCCCAACAACCACATGGTGACTCACAACCACTCAACAGAGCACTCATATACATAAAATAAATAAATCTTAAAAAAAAAGAATTTAATGTGACACCAATAATAAGCATTTTTAACTGTAGTTACTCATCATTTGAATTTAATTATTATTATAACAAATTAATAACTGATAGTTAATTAAAAAACACTTCAAAATTTGGCTTGCTAAATTAAGAACCAAGTGAAACTGGTATCAAGGAAGCAGATTCAAGAAATTATTATTATTTTGAGGCAGGGTTTCCCTGTAGCCCTGGCTGGCCTTGAACTCACAGAGATCTGCCTGCCTCTGCCTCCTAAGTGTTGGGACTAAAGGTGTGCGCCACCACTGCCCGGCAAGAAGTTATTCTTTCTCAGGCTATTATAAAATGATTAGTGACTTGTAGAGTGTTCATGTTTATTAGCTAACTTTGGCTTTGGCCTTGAGTTCTATTCTTTGTAATTTTTAACAGGAATCATTTGTATAAAGTAACTACTTTTATAAAGTTACAAAAATATTTTATCACATTTTCTAGTAAGCTATTTTTCTAGTTTTTCTGATATTTGAATTTTATTTTCCTATAGTGTTAAGATGCCCCATGAATTTTTTTGTACACTAGATTATGAATGATTTTTTTCTTTTATGTTGGAAGTCTTCCCAGTGTAGTATGACAAATTCTGCCTCCTAAGTAGGCAGGTTTATCAGCCGTGGATGGCCTTTCACACATGCAGCAAAATTATAGAATAAAGCTAATTACTATGGGTAGAAAAAAATTGTAGGTGGCTGTTTATCTAAATGCTGTTTTATCCAGGTTGAGCTCTTGTAATAGGATTTATGCTCCTTGTGAGGAGAATTCTGTATTTGAGAATTGTCCTTTTCAAAAGGTGAATTTTATCACTGACTAACCTTTTGCTGCCCTAGGTGTTTTCAGAGACGCTATTAAACATGTTTTGACATTTCCATGTTTTGCCAGTGCCCATTATGTTCCTAGTCTAGTAAAATTCTAGTCACCTGACAGATTAAGGTTGGAATATTACAAAAGCTGAATTTTAAACATAGAAGCTGCTGCTTCTGCCACAGGTGTCCTCAATAATGTTAGTCTTTGTGTGCCACATTTCAATCATCTTGGTAGGTTTTCAGCCTTAGATTCATGCCCTCACCCAGTGGCAATTTGGAGGACTTGGCATTGATGTTATATTTCCATCTGAGTTTTTAGAAACTCTCTTTAGAAGCAGGTGTAGCAACTTTACTCTTCCTCTTTTTGTCTAATATATACACTTTTGTTTCATTATCTTTATTTTAATGACTACTTGAAGTTATACCACCTGATGAAAGGATTTGACTTCTGGAGCCTCAGACTGATTTGCTAGTCATTCCCCAGAACACTCTAATGACTCTTTTTAAAGCTACATGCTGGAGGGGCACACCACTAACAGCATTTGCCATGACACTGTGAAAGGGAAGTGTAGGCTGGCCTGCATGTTCCCAGCTCTTGCCTGTTTCCTCTAATTTAGCTCTTTTTTTGGACATCTTTTTTTCTACTTTTCACTTACCATTGACCACCACCACACAGAATCAAAAATGTGGGCTTTCAGATTCAGATTGCAGTTTTTTTTTTTTTTTTTTTTTTTTTTGGTTTTTCGAGACAGGGTTTCTCTGAGTAGCTTTGCGCCTTTCCTGGGACTCACTTGGTAGCCCAGGCTGGCCTCGAACTCACAGAGATCCGCCTGGCTCTGCCTCCCGAGTGCTGGGATTAAAGGCGTGCGCCACCACCGCCCGGCTAGATTGCAGTTTTTAAAGTGGGCTTACTGGCTTTACAGAGCATTGGCATTTTCATGTTTTTTTTTTTTTTTTTTTTTTTTTTTTTTTTTTTTTTTTTTTTTTGGTATAAATAGCTAGAATATTTATAACAGGGACATTTTGAAAGCTCTAACCTGAAATACTTGGAAAAGGCTAAATAGTGCTCTTGAAAGTCTTATTCAGGAAGACCAGATGCCATCTCTGAATGGAGGACCAGTATGCATGTGTGTTTTACCTTGAATAATTAATTTAATATTAACAAGCCTACGTAATGTTGCAGATCTTTTCTTTGAATAATCCATTCCTGTGTTTGTTTGTTTGTTTTTTTGTTTGTTTGAGACAGGATTTCTCTGTGTAACAATCCTGGCTGTCTTGGAACTCGCTTTGTAGACCAGGCTGGCCTTGAACTCACAGAGATCCACCTGCCTCTGCCTTCTGAGTGCTGGGATCAAAGGTGTGCACCACCACCCAGCCCATTCCTGTCTTTACTCATCTCTGAACCTGATTGGTACAAATACTCTAATAAACGTTTTTGTTATGTCTGGTGGAAATATATTCCTATGACCTCTCTTTGCCCTTTTATTTTCTATAGATTATTCTTTAGGTCTTTCTCTTGATAACCATGTAATTCTCTTTTACTGTTGTGTTCCCCCTCCCACACGGAGCTGGAATTTAACAGGGATCAAAATAGATTTTTATTTCCAAAGCACTAACTAGTTCTCCACCTCCCTGCCCGTGTTTGGATTGTTTTCTCTTTGGGTTATACTTATCATTTCCTTTGAAGTGCTGTGTTCTGGGACTGGTTTGTTGTTTGAATTAATGGCTCCTAGAGCTGGTATTGCCATCAAGCTGCTTCTCTCCACATCCTCTTCCACTTGGAATTGCCTAGTAATCTCATTTGTGTTTTCCCACATCTCTATAATTTTTTACAAGATCTATTCAAAGGTTATAGATTTTTATTCAATTTTCTTGAATCAATAATATAAAAATGTCCATTTTTTTATACTTTTTAGAAAGAAAATATTTTTGTGTGTTTACCAAAATAGGGCCAGACTAAGTTTTTTTTTATTTAATTTGGTTTAATATATATTCTTGTTGTTTAAATAAGAAACTTGCTTTTTCATTTGTTATTAATGAATCATATGTTTCCCCTCACAGAATGGGTTCAGATGGCTCCAACTTTGTTTTCTAAGTTTATTCCAAACATTCTGCCTCCAGCTGTGGAATCTGAACTTTCTGAATACGCTGCTCAAGATCAGAAGCTTCAAAGAGAACTTATACAGAACGGTTTTACCAGGCAAGTTAGCTTTTCCTTTAGTGACAATATAGCCCATTTCCCTAGGCTTCTAGCTTGGCTAGAGAGAGTGTTGAGAATCAGTGTCTGAGAGCTGGGGCTGTGGACTCCTTGTCTGGACATTTCCAACTGGGTACTGAGCGGGTGGAAGCTGTTCATTTCTGTGTGCATTTTGAAGAATGGACAGTTAGGTAGGACAAGGCCATCCAGCTTGGACTTTCTAACATTAATCCTGAACACGATGAAAAACATTATTGTCATGTTTTCTCTAAATCTAAATGTTCTTTAAAAGTAGAGTGTCTCTTTATAAATGTCCAGATTTTCCCTTCCCTTGCCTTTGGTGTATATGTTTATTTTTCTGAAATGTTTACAGTTCTGTTGTTATTGTTTTACTCCTTTGGGGAGGCCCCGCCACCCAGCTCCCAAATAAATCACACACAGAGACTTATTCTTAGTTATGAATGCCCAACCTTAGGTTGGCTTGTTGCTAGCCAGCTTTACTTAACTTGTCCCATCTATCTTTGGCCTTGGGGCTTTTACCTTTCTGTATTTCTTTTTTTTTTTGGTTTTCGAGACAGGGTTTCTCTGTGTAGCTTTGAGCCTTTCCTGGAACTCACTTGGTAGCCCAGGCTGGCCTCGAACTGACAGAGATCTGCCTGGCTCTGCCTCCCGAGTGCTGGGATTAAAGGCGTGCGCCACCACCGCCCGGCTCTCTATTTCTTACTCCTTGGCTTGCTATGTAGCTGGGTGACTGGCCCCTGATGTTCTCCTCCTTTTCTGGCTCTTTCTTTTCTCCTCCCAGATTTCTCCTTCTGTTAATTCTCTCCGCCTACCAGTCCCACCTAGCCTTTCTCCTGCCACTTTATCGGCCATTCAGTTCTTTTTTAGACCATCAGGTGTTTTAGACAGGCACAGTAATACAGCTTTGTAGCTAGAGTTTTCCTGCTTGGCCCACAGTCAGGACAAATCTCTCTCATCTGCCAGTCCCACAGCCGCTCAGACCCAACCAAGTAAACACAGAGACTTATATTGGTTACAAACTGTATGGACTGTATGGCCGTGGCAGGCTTCTTGCTAACTGTTCTTATAGCTTAAATTAATCCATTTCTATAAATCTATACCTTGCCATGTGGCTCATGGCTTACCGGCATCTTCACATGCTGCTTGTCGTGGCAGCGGCTGGCAGTGACTCTCTTCCGCCTCCTGTTCTCTCAATTCTCCTCTCTGTTAGTCCTGCCTATACTTCCTGCCTGGCCACTGGCCAATCAGTGATTTATTTATTGACCAATCAGAGCAACAGATTTGACATACAGACCATCCCACAGCACAGCTTCACAGAGTTAAACAAATGCAACATAAACAAAAGTAACACATTACTTTATTCTACAACACAATTCCTTATTATGACCATACCCCAGAGAAATCATAGAAAGTACAGGTGTTTTTTGTTTGTTTGTTTGTTTTGTTTTAAATAAGAATGAAATAATATAAAGATCTGATAATTTCCTGTGGGGAAGTACTTGGTTATGTTAGGAAGTCAAGGACACACTGGTAACTTATATTTTCATAATTTTTCTGTTTATATGTCTCCCCTATCTTTTGGTATCTGAATTCCTAATATTAAGGAAACTTATGAAAAAGAAGACCCAAGCAACAAATTGAATGTTGATTTGATTATCTGATGGGAGATGGACATTCCTCTAAATAAAGTTTTGAGTCCAAACTGAATTTCAGAAACATACCAAAACAGACAAAACAAAACAGCCTTTACCATGGTTGCCTACTTAATCTGTTTCTGGTTAAGAAAGAAAGGAAATGTTGTTGTTGTTGTTTGTCAGCCCACAGAGTGGACTTTTTTTTGCCTCAGGGGTTGTAGTTTTGGTGACATCTGTAGTCATAAGTTAGTGGAGGCACTGAGAATTTCACTGGCCATTTACTTCCCTCCCTAGCAGCTTACATCAGAAGTGTCAGTGCAGATGGGTGTTGCTTGAATGTAAGTGGATGGCTTTTCTCTTTGAGATTGAGGCATCTTGTATCTCCCAGTATTAAAGTATTTTGTGCGTAGAGTGAAGCCATTTAATGCCCTATTCTTTGACAATTTCATGGATTCATATAATGTATCTTAATTATACCCATCTTCCTATTACCCACCCCCCTCCCCCGAACTACTCAGTACATTTCCCTCTCAACTTCATGGTTTTCTTGTTTGTATTTAAAATAATCCAGAGTCCAATTAGTGCTGTCTATGTACATGGGTGTAGGGTTATGTACAGGGTATGGGCAGCCTGTCTGCAGCCACCCCCACCCCCAAAGAAAAGTAATTCCGCCTTCCCTAGCATCCATCAACTGCCAATAGCTCTTCAGCTAGAGATGGAGCCTCAGGAATCCCTCCTTCCCATATTCATTTTTAAATAATATAAAAATATAGTAATTTTTATTTCCACTTGTCTCACTGTCTACCCCAATCCATTAAGTAACCATTATTGTTAGTTTTTTGTGATCCTTTCTAGTTTTTTTTTTTTTGTGGGTTTTTTTTTTGTTGTTGTATTTTAGTATAAATACAAGTAAACTTAAAGTATTCCCTTATTTTTATTCTTTTCCCCCCACATATTCAGCTATATGTCTACATTAGACTATTAGACGGTATACTAACTTAACTAGTTACTTAACTAGGCCCTAGTAGTTGTTTGGTAATACAGACAGAGCTGCAATGGAAAACCAAAAACATACCTTATTCTGTGCTTGTTGCATGTGTATCTCAGAAGTAGCTTGGCTGGATCAAGGGTTAGATATAATTGGAAATGTGATTAATACTACTGTTGTGCGTATGTTCTTTGTGGCCATACATACACTGTGTACATAAGTATAACTGTACTTTTAAAAAGTGTAGAAGCTACTCAGAATAAGTTAAATCTGTATTTCTGAGCTGAGCATATGTTTGCATTTGTATTTCTGTTAACGGCTTGTTTATGTCCTTTGTCATTGCTCTGTTAGTCTTTTTTCCTTGATTTCTAGGAGCTCTTTATATAGGAAAGAAATTGGCTCCTAGTCCAAGATAATATTCCTCAGTTGATCTTTTGGCTTTGCTTTCAGTCACGAGAAAGTGGTTTTACATTTTTGTGTTAACTATACTAGGTTAAGGTTTTTGTGACATATGTAGTTTGAATTATAATTAAATTTTGCCTTATTCACTGTTAAAAAGATTTATGTGTTTATATGTACCACACATGTCCAGAAGCCCACAGAGGCCAGAAGAGAAATTGGATCCCCTTAGTATTAGAGTTACAGATTGGGTTATTAGTCAACGTGTGGGTGCTGGTAACTGAACCCAGGTCCTCAGCAAGAGCCAAATGCTCTTAACCACAGATCCATCTCTTCAACCCTAAATACTTATAAATAAATGCAAAATAGTTAATTTTAAACATTAGTTTATTAATTCCCCCCTTTAAAATTTTGCCTTTTGAAAACCTCCTCTTGTGTCTGTCACTGAGCTGTTGAGGTTCATCCAGAGGTGTCTCTTAGCCCTAGCTTGGGCACTAAAACAAGTGAGCAGGGTGTGGAGCTGCTGGGTATATGGCTCTTATGTCAGACTTGGGTTGAGATGAGATGAGCAGCTGACTCTGGAAGCACCATCATACAGTATTTCTTTTGCTTTGAAAGAACTATTGTAGTATTGTGCTGCCAAGGCCAAGGGCATCAGGGAACAACTGCCTTGGGCTTTTTGTGTAAATTAGAATTTTTATTACTTATAATGGGGTTCTTTAAAACAGTTTCTGGCTGAGTTTTAAACATTAGGTTGTATTCTAAGAGGTAGTAAAATTGAAATGTCTTGTAGTACAAACTTAATCTAGCCACTTTTATAGTTAACACTGTGTATTACATATTTACTGTGAGGATTAAACTCTGCCTTCTAAAGGATTCTGACAGGTACTTTGAACAGAGTAGGCCCTGCCAAAGCAGATATCCTATGACCCACTTTTAGGCTTATTTAATCACCTATCAGAAAGGACTGCCATGCTTAGCCTCTGTAGAAGACCTGTCTCTGCTTGTGTCATGGGCATTCTGTGTAATACCTGTCACACTAATGTTCTCTTTAGTCATCTAGCTAGGATTGTTTTAGAGAAAAATAACATTCACTGATATGAAAGGGAAGAAAAACTCAAAATATACAGGCTATCAGATAACTCTTTTACTGCCTATTTGGGCATGAGCAGTAATTTGTGAGTTTTATTTTACCAAGTTTGTGGTTCTTTATTGGTATTCCAAGCTCTTCATTTTGTGTCAAAGTCTTTGAAATGTTTTTACATAATCTGCAAATGTATTCAGATCTATCCTCTGCAGTAGATCTATAGATGCATGGAAGTACAAGGAAGACTTTTTTCAAAACTAGAATAGACATATGAAAGCTCGACCCGTCATGATCTTTCTCTGGTAATTGTATTGATTGGATAGGTTGGTGTCTGCTGTCAGAAATTACCTTGTGGAGATTAAGCTTATTGGCAACAGAGAACATGAGCCTTGGCTTGGAGTGTACCATTTAGGCCGGCCTAGAGTCCCAACCAAACATTTTGCAAGGGCAAATAAGATGTTCCCTCTGAGAATAGGTGACCTTGGTTTCTGGAATACAGTAGAACTTTGTAAAGATACTGGTGTTTTTTGTTTTTTTTTTAGCTGAGAGAGTGGCCCCTGAATTTGAGCTTTTTCATTTCATAGCAGAGCACAGTGTACAGCTGCAGATTTCACAAATCAGTATTGTCTTTTGCATCTACAACAGCTACTTTCTTCATGCCTGCTGTTTTCACATCTGCATTTCACCCCTGTTACTTGTACATCTTCTGTTTCTATCTAACCAGTGAGGAGGTAGGAATGGATGCTTTGTTTAGAAGTAGAGGTTCCAGATATAAAGTTTTGTATCTTCGGTTTTAATCAGCATTATAACCACATAAGTCACTTTGCTGGCTTTGGTAGGGCATAAAGTTGGATATCTTTTTAGGCTGCTCAGGGCTGTTCCTGGAGAATACAGTGGAATTTTTTTCTAGATGCTCACTGTAAAGAATCATATACCTCTCAGTCATGTATTATGGCCTCTCTGCCAACCATCAAGGATCCTTAGCTTAGCAAGAGATGTCTGTCTTGGTTAGAAGCAAGTGAGAAAATAAACTTGGAATATCTGGAAAATTATTCAAAATCTTACAATATTTCAAAATTAGCATTGGTTTAATAATCAGATATTGTTTTATTGTTTGGTTAATTTAAATGTGGGATGCTCAGATCAGCATTTTAGTAATTATCTGAGATTGTGAATTATTAACCAATTTGTTAATTCAACAGATACATTTCCAGTGTCTCTTGTGTGCTAGGCACTGAGGCACCAGGGTGGACAAGACAGGCAGAGTCCTCACTTTTGTGGTACTTGTGCTCTACTGTTGGCAAACAGATAATAAACTTGTAAAAGTATGTACAATTTCAAGTAAAAAAATAAGCACTGTGAAGAGTATTAGAGAGTAAATTAGAGTTGGGGGGTAATCAGTGACATGGTGTTAGCCTCCAAGGGGTTGTGATTCCCTTGGGAAGAGAGTGGCAAACAGAAAAATATAATCACCCCAAAAGTGAACGGAGGTGATAAGGGCTGGAAAATGAGGTGGGAGAGAGAGTCCAGAGCCATGACATTGGCTGAAATGAATTGGAATTGATTTTGAACTGTAATGAAAAGTTATGAAGACTTTTAATCAGAGGTGTGAACTAATCTTATTTATACCTTATATAAGCTCACTCTGGCTCTTTGTCAAGAATAATATAAGGTTTGGGGATGGAGCTGAACAGACATTATGTTCTGGGTATGGTAAATTTTCTGTGTATTTAATGATGAGAATGCTGAACCTATAGATCTCAGACAGAAATCAGAGCTGCCTGTAAATCTCAGAGCCACAGACTGATATAGTCTGCATCTTAGAAAAGAAAGAAGAATGTATATGGAGAAGAAAATGTGGCCTGTGACATTGTTAAGGAGAGCCAACAAAAGACACCAACAGTGGGTGGGAGAAGGTCAGAAGAAGCTAAGAATAAAAGTATTTCAGAAAGGAGGGATGATTGTACCCTTGGCTGAGAGGCAAGTAAGTGGAGCCATTATTGCTCATTGGTTAAGCATTGGAGTTTGGGTTAGTGTCTGAAGCCAGAAAGCCAGAGTGTGATTCATGGGAGGCATGGCCTATACACAACCACTCTTAACTGGAGTACAGAACGTGACTGCCTCTAGGCCTGTGAGGCTAGGCTGGGCACTATATCTGAAGATTTGTGCTCTCCACCCACAAGGGTCTTCAAGTACCTCAATTTCTGGCTTCCATAGGCTTTGAGAGTCTCAGTTGGGGCATGAGGGGAAGATTTTTAACTCCCCTCTTTTTGATATTTAAAGTTTGGCTAGTACGTGCAGAATATTGGAGATAATATTAGCAGAATCCATGGTTGTTGTCAGAGACATATTTTAGTTTGTACCTTTGTAGTACTCAGTGTAAACCATCTTTATAGATGATTCTTCATTTAATAACTTTCTATATTTAACAGGCTACATATACCCTTGAGGTAAGAATACTCGAGGTAAATGACTCAGCTAATGTTTAATGTCTGTTTAAACAGTCTGTTGGGTTAGAAACTGAAGCATTTGCTGTTTCTGCTATCACATCAATTTATTTCTGCTGGTTTTGTGTGTAAAGAAACCAGTCAGTTTTGTTGACTTCTTCGAACTCTTTTCTTATCCCTAGAGGTGACCAGTCCCGGAAAAGAGCTGGGGATGAGTTGACTTATAGTAAGTGATAATGCTTTTCCTGTTTTGATGAATTTTTGATGTGGGCCAGCTTCTGAGGATGAGTATGGAGACCATGTTTGTAGGGGTGGTGGTCTAGATGGCACAGCATGGCTTGTGAAGTTGGGGTCATTCTGGCCTTGGGCTCAGGCAGGTGCCAAGAGACCACAAGATTCTTTGGGATAATGCCTCAAAATCAGTTCGTGGTGATATTGGCTCCTTTTCAGTTCTCTCAGACTGTGTTATTTTTCAAAGTTTTTAAAATAAATACACCAGGAGATGGGGATCGGGAGAGAAATAGCTTTGTGTGAACAGAGTGCTCTCTGTCTCTCATGGTTTTTCTTTGTCTGACCTTTTTCCCCCAGACAGTCCGTCTGCTTGTGCAAGTTCCAGGGGATACAGATAGTGACTGCTGAAGTACTTTTCTCTCGGAGAGAAGACACTGGAGCTGCAGAAACTGTTCCAGGCACAGCGGGGCCTGCACCACTCAGGAGCTCTGTCAAAAGGCTGTTCTCAGAGAGGATGCCACACTTCTTTCTTTGATTTTCAGTTTTCAAAAACAAGAACTAACAAAAACAATTGCTGCTAGACTTGGGGGTGATTTTGAAATGGGACAATCTTTTAATGAGTTTATCTACAGAGCAAGTGTCTTGGAGAGCGGCCATTGCTAAGTGAAGCCCAACATGCAAATCAGCTTCCTCCAAAATACAAGAACGATAGAATCTTATTATTTTTTAAGCATTTGTCTTGTTCATTTGTGGACTTGGCACATGGTGTCTCATGTCAAGATATCTTTGCTTTAAACAAGCAGATGTTACAATACAGTGTTCACCCGTGCCCCAAACAATCTGTTTTAAATTCAGAATTGGTCTATGTTTAGCATTAGTCTTATGGAGAAAAATGCTAATAATTGCTTTCACTATAACTTTCCCCATCAGTTCACGTTTTTAACTCTGTGCCTTGAGCTTTGTGCACTTTGCAACTATGTGACTATGTCATCAAACTCACAATGCTTCCTGGAGAAGTTGATACCCAAACTGGCCTACCAAGGCCTCTGGTGTGGCTTTGTAGCAGGATCTGATTGAGAAAATGGGCAGAGGTCAGAATTCACCCTTCTGTCCCAGTTCTCATGGGGACCAACTCTTACAGAGTGGTTTCCTTTCTGCCGTCACCTCACCTGATCTTACCAGCCTCTAGTGTGGGTAGAGTCCTGGTCTGTGATACTGTAGAGATTACCCAGCTGTGGGAGCTGTTACCTGGATCCCTCTAGGGAGCAATAGTAGTTAAAGCCAAAAATAGTAAATATTTCTTGGTCCATCTCATTTTGATGGGTGCATTTTAGTATTTGTAAAAGGTCAGCTCTGCCCTGCATCTTGTAAACATCATGTTTGATATTTGAGTACAGCAGGGGAGAGTTTGCACTGGTGTTTGAAGACTACCTTCAGCTGTGATAAAGCTGTATTGTCTGTTTCACTACACCAATAGTGCTCTTTAGATCTTCACAAACGTCTGAAGCTTTCTCTAGCTGTTTTTCAATGGTAAACAAAAACAGGCATGGTGAAGGAAAAATATTTTTCTTCTCAGTTTTGCTTGACTGTGAAGTGGCTTCGTGCTACCAGGCTTTAGCTGACGGTGATTCTGACCCTTCAGAGAATGCCTCCCCAGGCTACTACTTCGAAACAGTGGGCAGAAGAGTTAGAAATGGTGCACTGGGGGCAAGAATGTTGCCCAGTAGCAGTCCTGGATTTGTAAATGATGGTCTAGGGGAGGAATAGTAAGAGCTGACAGCTTGGCTCCTTCGGGTACTTCTCTGCAGTTGGTAGTTTGTGGGGACTTTAATTGGCTTCGTTTTATTTGGGTTACCCTGAGTAGAGACAGGAAGGTGTACAGCTTTTTCTGCTCTAATATCAAGGGAAATTTTCATTTTATCAAGAAGCCCAAAGTTTACTTTTCTGTTGGAATGCTTGCCACAAGGTTGTAAATATAATTTGAAACTGGTTTCTTCTACATGGCTTTAATATTTTTGACAGTAGTAAAGTTGGAACATTTCTTGAGACATAAGTAAGTAGCTCAGTGTCTTAATTTCCACCCTCCCACCTCCACTGGAAGAACGTACTCTTTTTTTTCTCCAATAGAACTTTCCCTATAAAAGCATCATATTACATAAATTGGCATTAAAGTGTGTGCTTTTGTGTTATTAAATTAATGGAGATATAATCATACACATTCTGTGTTAGCACAAAATAGAGGAAAGCCTGTAAAATTCTGAGTCAGAGCTGGATACAACTGTACTGGTACTGAAAGGCATAGTTTGTAAAACATACTCAAGGTGAAATTGGCCTTGCTTATTAATTGAAATCTTGACAGAATTCGTAGTCCTCAACTATGAGGAAGTAAAATCTGCTCTCTCCCACTTTATATTTCCAGAAAACACTTTCTTTTCATGTGTCTTGTGTTCTTGCCAGTGAGATGTGCAGTTTTTCTACCCCTGCTGAGGACTACTTTCTTTTTTTTTTTTTTTTTTTTTTTTTTTTGGTTTTTCGAGACAGGGTTTCTCTGTGTAGCTTTGCGCCTTTCCTGGAACTCACTTGGTAGTCGAGGCTGGCCTCGAACTCACAGAGATCCGCCTGGCTCTGCCTCCCGAGTGCTGGGATTAAAGGCGTGCGCCACCACCGCCCGGCTGAGGACTACTTTCTTAATCAGATCCTCAATGGCCAAATGATGCACATTGGTTAGCCAGTCAGTGTAATGCAGTTAATGCTTTAAAAGAAAGCCACAAAGTGTGCGTTACTGAAACTTCTGGAAAAGTCTTTTTTTCTGGTTCACTTTCTCTCCCTTTTGCTAGGATGAAGTTGGTTTGAGTGTTGGTAAGAGTGCAGAGGAAAGGTGCCCTTGGTCACGACACTGCATATATGTCTCTAATGCTCAGACCTGCGTAGCTGCTGCCCCCCCCTGTTTGCTTTCTGTCAGGTTGCAAATTTGCACACATGAATGATTCCTCAGGAACAGTTTGCACACTCCTCACTTCAATGTACTCTGTATAGACCAAACAGCATCAAAGGTTATCAGCATGAGAGGCTTCATACACTTACTAGCGAAGGCCATGGTGAGCTTGCAAACAAAACTGGTTTTTGCAGGTAATGGAAAGAGGAGCATTTAATGTTTAAACAACCTCCCTGTAAATAGAGTAAATAACCTTCCAGATTTTGCTGTCTTATTGAGACTGTTTGTTTTGTTTTTTTCTCCTGTTTCTTCTCTCTCACAGTGGTTAATTATTCCCACAGTTAGTATGCAGAAGGAATTTCCCTTGAGCTAAGATTCAATTGTTTATTAAGCAGCCAACATTAAACTAAGCATTATTCTATGAATGTATATTCATAGAGTATACTAAGCTGAGATAATAAGAAACAACTAAAAAGCAAAACAAAAACCCTGCATTAGCTATCCAGCTGTTAGAGTGTTTAGAGTTTTTTGTTTGTTTGTTTTTATGGTGTATCCCTTGAGCTTTTAGCTTGGAATATTATATTTGCTTTTATCCATGTGTAGGTCTTTTAAGGGGATGTTAAAATTCAAGGTTGGAATGTGACACCATTAACTGACACCTAAAGCAAGTATAGAGAGCCTTTTCTGTTGTGATGAGTGCTTTCAGTAAAAGTGTGCAAAATGAGGTTCATTTTGACCAGAGGTTGCAGCGGTCCATAGAGAAATGGCTCTTGTGCTTTAATTACCACATAGAAATTTGCCTTGATTTCTGACCCCCAGAACTTTGGGAAGGAGGTACCTGTTCTTTCCCAAAGGAAATGCCTCCTCTCTGGTCCCCCTGCTGCTTAACTGCAGTCACTGCCTCCTCCTTCCTGCTCTAGCTGAGACCTTAACTTGAACCTCTGTCCAGAGCCAGTGGCTTGGGTCTGCCACCTCACTGCAGGACCTGTTATTTTACAGATCTGTGCTCTGCTGTGAAGAACTTGGTTTTAGGTTTGATTCATTGTTAGAAGAGTGCTGATGAATTATACCTCTGGGAAAGTCATCAGCATGGCTCTGAGGTTAAAAGTTGAGTGGTTTGGAAAATAGTTTGTATTGGTTTTTATGTGTCTTTTAAATATTGTGACTGTACTAAATGCAGTAAGACTGAATGTTCTCCTAGGGTGTGTTTGGTTGAATGGTTGGCAGTACCCTTGGCTCTTCTTAGTCTTATTTGTCAGTGTTACAGCCGTGCAATTGTAGAGAAATTATTTAATGTCAAGTCCTGAAGAACTGTGACTCAAACAAATGCTTATACAAAATTTGGAGATCACATGCAGGCAAAAGCTTTTGCCACCCACCAGCATAGCAGAGTGAATGAAGCATTGCTGTCCAGTCTCCCGACCACTTGTCATAAGGCATGGCAAATCTGGTACTGTCCTTTGCCACTCACTCATTCACAGAATAAGACTAAAGCGCTTACTGAGCTGGGGCACAAAGCTGCTGGCCTGGGCTCTCCTTATAAACATTTGATGGATTTTGAATCACTCTTCTGTATTAGGTGTATATTCTTACTAAAACATTGTGGTTAATGGAAAATAAATCTTGTACAGATGTCCTTAAACTTGTTTTGTTATAAGTTTTGTGTAGATGTCCTGGCTCTGATACCTGGTTCACTGTTGTAACATGGATGCTCAGTTCCACTTACAGGGTACTCTGTGACATGGGAGCCACAACTCAGACACAGTTAGCCTTAACCTTTAGATCAGTGACTACAAAACTGTTTATATGTGCTTTAGGCATTACAGTGTATGTGTGTAGACATGAACTGTGGATGTATATGGTGTTTATGTAAGCATGTACTGTAGATGTAGTGTACAGTGTATGAATGTGTACTGTAGGTAGTGTGTGTATGCATGCTGTAGGTAATATATGTGCACACATGTACTGTGGGTGTATAAAGTATGTATGTATGAATGTACTGTAGGTGTTGTATGTGCACGTGTGCTTTAGATGTACGTGGTCTGTGTATAAATGTACCGTAGGCATATATAATGGGCATGATTTCCTTGGTGGAGGAGCCCAGAAGCTTATAAGCATTTGATAATAAGAACATTTTGACTGTTGTAAACATGCCATTTCCTTTTGGATTAATATATGAATTTATACAAAACCATTCCAAAGACCAAAAGTCTTGTTTTTAATATAATTTAAAACCTCATGGAAGTGTAAACAGATGAAAATAGGAAAATTCCCATTGAAAATGCCCAAGAAAAAAATAGAAGGAACTTGCTGTACCAAAAAGATATCATCATATTTTTCAAAAGTGCAATTAAATTTAAAACAGTTACAATGGTGTAAACATAGACGTGGTGATGGGAAATTCTAAAACAACAAAAAAAAACCCACATTCCTAAAAATAGGAATGAAGGCATACATTAACACTGGCTTTTAAGAGTTATTCTGGCTGTGAGGAGTTATTCATTGAAAACTGCTAGAGAAAATTAAATTGATTGCTGTCATACATACCATTCATCAAAGAAAGCCCAGATGGACTAAAAATTAAATTTAAAAGCACAGCACAAAAAAGACAATATGACTCCCCACTCCTAGGAATGGAGAATTTTCTTTTAAGGACATAATCATGAGACACAAATGCTGTATACATGTTGTCACCTGCCTTTGTGCTCCATGGAGTGTTTAGTGTGTGTACTTATGGATACATTTTTAACAAAACTTATGTGTATATCTGCACCTGCATGAGTTTATATGTACCATGTGCATAGAGTGCATGCAGAGGCCAGGAGAGAACCCCTAATGTAGAACTAGAGCAGTTCTCAACCTGTGGGTCACGACCCTTTCACAGGGGTTGCATATCAAATATCCTGCATATCAGACAATTATGATTTATAACTAGAAAAATTGCAGTTATGAAGTAGCAACAAAAATAATTTTATGCTTGGGGTCACAACAACATGAGGATTAAAGAATCAACGCATTAGGAAGGTTGAGAACCACTGAGCTAGAGTTACAGTTTTGAATTGTCTGATGTCTGTGTGCTAGGAACCAAACCCAGGTCCTCTGCAAAAGGAGTATACACTCAACATTGAGCCATCTATCCACACCCAAATTGTTTAAATTTAAACATGTACTCATATACTGCTCCACATAAGACACACACAAAAAAGGGAGAGAATATTTTGAACTATTGTGGGTGGTATTTGTATCTTTTAAGACTATTCTTTATTTAAAAAAGTGGGGTTTTTTTTGTTGTTTTTATTTTGATTTTTTGACTTTTTGAGATGGGGTTTCTCTGGCCCCTGACAGTCCTAGAACTCACTCTGTAGACCAGGCTGACTTTGAACTCAGAGATCCACCTGCCTCTGCTTCCCTAGTGCTGGAATTAAAGGGATGTGCTAAAAATGGTTTTTAAGTGAGAGCCGTGCGATTCAAAAATGATTTGGGACTGAAGAGATCACCCAGTAGAGTTTGCTATGTGTGTGTGAAGGCCGAAGTCTGACTGCTAAGGACCTATGTAAGCTATCTGTGGTAGCATTCCTACAGCAAATGGGAAGTGGAGACAGAATCATCCCTGGGAGCTTGATGGCCAGTTAGCCTGGCATTACAGTGGTAAACAGAGACCATGTCTCAAAAATACAAGATGAAAGATGAGCCACATCCAGCATTGTCCCCTGATGACTTTGGACTGTTGTGTATGTACACAGGATACATTTGGACACATAAACTATTTTATAAATTTGATTTAGGGTCACTATTGCTATGTTGAAACACCAATCAGAAGCAAGTTGGTGGTGTGTAGCAGTTTCCTCCAAGATGAAAACATTTCATCCTTCAGGGAAGCTCTTTAAACAAAAAGATAAAAACTGAAAGTAGCTTCAGAAAGTCCCTAAAACTGGCCAGATTCCCTAGGTCCCCCACTTGCCAGAGTAAACAATAAAAGCTAAGGGTCCCCCCTCAGAGGAAAGAGCTAAGCTGCAAAGAAGATTCAAACAAGCAAAGCTATAAAAAAGACCAGGTGTGTGTGTGTGTGTGTGTGTGTGGGGGGGGGGGTGTAAAGAAGACTGACCAGACCAGTGGTCTGGAAGAAGTAGAAACCAGCTCAGCTGTCTAGAAGAGGTTTAGACCAGAGTCACTTGGAAAGGACAGTCTCCAGCCTGTTGAGCTGTCTGCAGGCTGTGCAGTGTGCTCCAGGTTTCCCAGCTTTTGTGAGCTGTCACCCATGCTGGAGTGGGCCTTGGTGTTGCAGCTGGCTGTCATTCTACTTCTGTAAGTAACTCTAATAAAACTCACTGGTTCACCAAGTTGGACTTTGGCGGTATCTGTACTTTGGTCTTGAAGGGACATAGCCCACTTGAGCGCATGGCTCTGGCAGGTCTTACCCTTCTCTCCCATTCCCTTTACCTTGCCCCAGACCACTAGATTACATTCCTAAAGCTAGCCACCACGGTCTCTTATTTGGCCACTTCCTCCTGAGGCTGATTAACAAGGTCCAGCTATCAAAGTATTTAAGTCCATCAGTCAAAAGCCCCTTTGGGCTCACCCAATTAGCATGTCCAATTAAACACCTCATCCTAACACTGGGTTTCCCCCTTTTACATTTATAAACTGCCATTTGACAATGGGCTATGTCTATCTCCTGTCTATCCAGAGGCAGTCCTTTGTTCCCCTCCAGGACAAATACCCCGCCTCCTCTCCCTTGTTCCTTCCCCTTCTCCCTTGTCCTCTATCTCCTGTCTTTGTCTCTTATTTCCTGCCCCTCTGTCCCTCTAGGGCAAATAAATCTCTTTTGTGCTGAGAACTTATTCTCAGAAGTCCTGAGCAGATACTAATCTCTTACAGGTCTGTCGTGGGATCCCTGTCTGGGGTAAGTAGATATGTGTATTGTGTCATATTTTTTTCACACAACTGGGGAGGATAGGGTTTATGGCTTATACTTCTAAACTCTAGTCAATTATTGAAGGAAGTCAGAGCAGGAACTCAAGCAGGGCAGGAACCTGGAGGCAGGAGCTGATGCAGAGGCCATGGAGGGGTGCTGCTTACTGGCTTTCTCCTCATGGCTTTCTCAGCCTGCTTCCTTATAGAACCCAGGTGTGGTGATTGATATATTGTGTACCCTAATAAACTTTGCTTGAAGATCAGAGAAGGAGAGCAAGCCATAGCCACCACCTCTTACCTCACCCTCTCTTCAGCCTGAAAGAGCCTCAGCCAATAGGCCTCTAGCCGAATGAGCTTCCTCAGCCTTATATACCTTTCTCATATAATTTCCTGTCTCAACTTTACTAGTACTGGGATTAAAGGCATGTAACTCCCAAGTATTGAGATTAAAGGTGTGTGTCACCACCGCTTAGCTCTGTTTTCTCTCCTAGACTGAGTCAGGGTGGCTTTGAACTCAGAGATCAGATGGATCTCTGCCTCCCGAGTACTAGGACTAAAGGTGTATGCCACCACTGCCTGGCCTCTGTTTAATCCAGTGGCTTGTTCTGTTCTCTGATCTTCAAGCAAGGTTTATTAGGGTACACCACACCCAGGACCACTAGCCCAGGGATGGCACCACCCAAAATAGCCTGGGCCCTCTCCCGTCAATCACTAAGAAAATGCCTTAGAGGGTTCCTTGCAGCCTGATCTTACGGAGGCATTTTCTCAACTGAAGTACCCATCTTTCAAATGATTCTAGCCTGTGTCAAGTAGCCAGCACACTTCATTATTTCAAAACTTGTAAACAAAAACATCATACTAAAATTAATGAGACAGAAACATTTAAAAAGTTATTTTTGAAGTTTTTGTTTTTCATGTAATGCTGAGAACCACTGAACTACACCTTGAACCCTTAAAAATGTTTTATTTCTGGAACTCCTTTTGGTCTTTATGCAAAGATCTCATTGTTTTGGTTCTAAGGTAAGTTTATCTTAAGGCTTGATTTTAGAGGCTACTTAGTGGCTTGTTTTATGCCTGAAAAAGCTATCTCATTGATACCTTTGGATGTAAAATAGCTATGCTTTCTAGAAGAAATGTTCAGTTCCAACTGCCTGGTTTGTTGAGGTGTTTCTCAAATACTTGATAATACATTTTCAGCTTTTTTGGTGTTAGTAATCTGATCTTGCTGAATATATAGGAACAGTCTTTACCACTGTTGACAATAGCTTAAAAACCAACAGAGAAACTTATTCTTGGGTTTTTTTCCTAGCTTTAAGAGTACATTTTTATAGTTAGAGTTTTCCTGCCTTGCCCAGAGTCAGGACAAATCTTTGTCACCCGCCAGTCCCACAGCTGCTCAGACCCAACCAAGTAAACACAGAGACTTATATTGCTTACAAACTGTATGGCTGTGGCAGGCTTCTTGCTAACTGTTCTTGTAGCTTAAATTAATCCATTTCTATAAATCTATACCTTGCCACGTGACTCATGGCTTACCGGCATCTTCACATGCTGCTTGTCGTGGAGGCTGGCAGTGTCTCTCTGACTCAGCCTTCCACTTCCCAGCTTTATTCTCCTCCTTGTCCCGCCTATACTTCCTGCCCACTCACGGGCCAATCAGTGATTTATTTACCAACTAATCAGAGCAACACATTTGCCATACAGAACATCCCACAGCAGGGTGGATAT